GTCGCCCCGGGGGCTGGAGCCCCAGCCGGCCGGGCCCGGCGCTTCCGGGCTCCGAGGGAACGGCGGACTCCGACTCGGGGTGGTTTTAAAGTTTCGTGCAAACTTTCCCAAGGTCTGGCGGTGACTCTCGGGAAGAAAAGCTTGGCCGTTGGCCAGAAGAAATGGGTTGCGGCGAGGGTGTGTTTGTGGGTGTGTGTGGTGGCCGTCGCCGCGTCCGGGGTCGCCCTGGGAGGGCAGAGAGGAGGTGGGCAGGGGCTCTGGTCCCACCGGAGGCGGCGCCCTGGGACGCGCGGGGATTTCTGGCGCAGGTCGCCGCCGGGCGCTGCTTCCCGCGAACCGCCGAGCGGCGCGTGTCCGGAGGGAGCAGACTCCGAGCTCGGCTCCCGGAGGCGTCAGCGCGTCTTCCAGAGGGAGCCCGCGGGGCCGATGCAGGTCCCCCCTGGCCTTTGTCTGCGCCCCACGGGGCGTCGCGTTGTCCCCGAGTTTTGTCCCGTTTCTGCAGGCGACCCACACAGCAAGGGACGCAACTCTCCCTCTCCTGTTGGTGCCGGGTCCGAACATCAGGGGTCCGCGGTCCCCGGTCCTCACCACCCCCTCCCCCGCAGCCAGCTGCTAGCCTCCGTGTGCTCCTCTCTAAATGACAGCCGCCCGGCCCTCGTGGCGCAGTGGTTACGTGTTGGGGCTGCAGACTGCAAGGTCCGTAGTTCAAAACCGGCGTGGGGCGGGGGCGGGTCATGAAGCTTTCAACTGCCCTAAAGAGTTACAGTCTCAGGAACCCACAGGGTCGTTTCTACCCTGTCCTATATTGGCTCGTTGGGAGGGCGTTTGGGGTTTTTCTGGCTGTCACGCGTCCAACTCATAATGACCCAGGAGGACGGAGTGGCACTGCCCATAGGGTTTCCAGGGCTGTCGTCTTTACTGAAGTACCACCGCTTTCTCCCGCTGAACATCCGCTGGGTTTGAATCTCTGACCTTGGCGTGAGCAGCCTAACCATGATGTCACGAGGCCTCGTTATCTCGGAACTAGGCAGACTCATTATAGGGGGGCTTGGATGGTTGGTGGGAAATTTCCCGGCACATAGAATGATGATGATCTCGTGGTAGTTTTTTTAATTGCCACTGAAGTGATGCCGGTCTGAACTAGGGACTGGCGGGTCAGGGGTGGGAGGCGGAGACAGATTACTAGGAGCACCATGGGGCTTTGTGAGACCTGAGAATCTCATGAAGGTCTCACATCCGGCCAGGTGTGAGGTCTTAACCATCTAGGAAGATCTCCCCAGAACAGCCACCTGTTGCCGAACCAGATGGAACTTCGTAGTTTGGAGGATGGGCAGGAGAGGTGGGGTCCCTGGTGGAATTTAGGAGTTAGGAGGGAGAGGTGGCGTCCCTGCGTAATCTGAGAGATGCTCAGCAGGCATCCTGGCCCCTCACACACCTAACTCACCACGGAGGGGCAGTGTCTCCATGAGCCCTGGGATAGTGGTGTTGCCTTGTAAATAAAGGAGCCATGACTTGGGAAATGGGGTGGGGGCTCTCCTCAGCTCCTGGGCTCTGCTGGGTGGTGAACGTGGGAGCTTAACTGGCATCATTTGTTTAGGAAGGTGTCCAGCTCCTCCGGTGTGCTGAGAATCCAAAGTGAGTAAGTCCCAGTGCCCTGGCTTCTTCCCCGCCCCTCAGCCTTACACGCATGTCCTGAAGCAGGTTTGCCTGTCAGGCTTCAGCATCTGCAGCTTAGGGGGTGATGCTGGCCGGGAGACCAGTCCGTGCTGGATAACTAGGGCATGTCTGTTCTGGGCACGGGATGCGCTTGGCAGGCAAGGATCTGACAGTATAGTTTCCAAGAATCTCCCCTACCTACTCGTTGGTCTCTTCCCAACCATGGGTCTCTCCCTGGGTTGTGTTGATGCTGAGAGTGACCAGAAGAGGGCAGCGGCAAGGGAGACCTGGGGGGGGGGGGGGGGAAGCACCTCCCAGTCACTCCCTCTCCGGAAATTCCCAGACCCAGGGAGGCCAACGCCAGTGCACCCCAGGCTCAGTGAAAGGCTTGCTGAAAGCCACTGAATTTCTGGCCACATGTTAAAGAGGGGCCGGCCACCTCATCCTACCCCAGTGAAATCCTAACTCCCTAGGTTTTTAGCCAGAGGACCTCTGACCTCCTAGGACCAGCCACAAGGCTATACATGGAAACGCCCCACCCCTCACCCCACCTGCCCCTTCTTTCGGACGACAGGTCTCCATTCTGTCGAAGATACAGAGTGCAGAGAAGAAAGCCCTAAATCGATGGCTGGCCTCCTGGTAGCCACGACTGTCCTCCCCTGGGGACCCCAGGCTCCATCTCTGCAGTATAAAGATATCGGACTTGTTAGACTTGCACATGGAGAGTGTGGACCTCATTCTCCTGGTCCATCTTGCTTGGACTTGGTTCATTTCCCACCCTCCAGTACCATCCGGTCTCTCTTCTACTTCACGCCCTCCTGTCCCATTTTGCCCTCGCATCCACGTCTGCCATCTGGCCAGTCCATGCACCCTCTTGACCCAGGTCCACTTCACACATTTGTGTACTTGCTTGGTCCTACGGGCAAGTTGGGTTTGTACCCTCTGGCTTGTTTCCGCTCTGTGCCCAGTGCTGCTGTGACCCTTGGCTGCCGCCGGCCTCTGAGCCCGCTCCTCCCAGCTCTCCCACACACACTGCATGACCTTCGGCAAATTACTTAGTTTCTCTGTGCCTTTGTTAACGGGCATGATGCCTGGCAGATGGAAGTGCTTGAGCCGTGGCTGACGTACAGGTGTTTTATAAACAGATTTCCACCCCCCTCGAAACTTGCTGACAAAACCACCTTCATGCTGACCTATGAAGCAGGGTTTGAGCTGAGACAATGTCATCTTATAACATCGGATGCCTTTGAATCAGTGGGAGTGAATCTGTGAAGCCCTCCCACCTGGGGCTGGCTCGATGCTCGGGCTTCTCAGGCTTCCGGCCCATGGTTTCTGTCGGGTGGCTGTAACTCTGCAGCCTAGGGTATAATAGATAATAAATCACAAGCCATCACCCCCCACCCCCCCCACCCCCCGCCACCAGGCGTCTGAGAACGGCCTTTGCAAACCTTCAGAGGGCTGCCTTGCCCCGTCCACATTTCTTCAATTGGATTGCAAAGCCTGGGGGTCTGTGGTCTCGAGAAAGTACTTCTCGCTCCAAGTCGCAGTCTCCTTGCTGTAACATGGAGCTGGGAATGAAAATGCTTGCCTTGTCTCAGGGTCGTGAGGCTGCTTCAGTTCAAGGTCCTTTCCGTTGGAGCCTGTGGGGAGATGGTTTCTCTGGGAGGTGGTCCCAGAAAGCAAGGGCGAGGGACAGGGAGAATGAGACAAGGGTGGAGGCCAGCTGTTGAGAGGACTGGGTTTGAAGGAGCTCCTGTATTCAGTGGGGTTTTGATCTCAAAGCAAGGACCTCTGAGAGACTTATAGAATGCCTCCCAGAATTCAACATCCCCCAAATAGGACCCCTGGTGGCATAGGGGTTGCATGTGGGGCTGTTAACTCCAAGGTCAGCAGTTCTAAACCACCAGCTGCTCCCAAGGAGAAAGACAAGACTTTCTACAGCTTTGGAAACCCAGAGGGGTGGTTCTCCCTGGTCCTGTGGGATGGATAGGAGTCGGAAGCCACTTGATGGCAGTGAGTTTGTTTTTGAAAACAAAAATAGGGAAGAACCTTCAGCAAAGCTCCGTTTCCTCCATTGCTTGCTCCAGCCCCTCTTCCTCTTCCCGTTCCCATGTAAGAAGCAAGCCCCGCCGGGCCCCGCGGTGTCAGAGGTGTACTTGCTGTGAGAGGCCATCCAGCCCATGTCCACTGGTGCCAGCCTCAGGTTTGCAGGTAGAACGGCTTCACAGGCTTTTCAAAGCTGTGAGTTTTCAGACGCAGATCGCCAGCCCTGTCTTCTGAGGCACCTCTGGAGGGCCTGAACCACCCACCTTGCAGCTCGATGTTGCTGTTGCTGTGGCGTGCCCCCCTGGCCATCTGGACTCCTAGTGGCCCAATGGGCCAGGGTAGAACTGCCCTCTAGGGTTTCCCAGAGCGTCCTCTTTATGGGCGCAAGCTGCCAGGTCTTTTCTCCCAAAGGGTGTCCAGTGGGCTTGAACTGCTGACCTTTCCGTTAGTAACTGAGCATTACCTGCTATGCCACCAGGGCGTCCTTGGGCTTGTTGAGTGCTTAACTGTTTGCACCACCCAGGGACTCACTGAGTCCCATGATACAGAGCAAAACAACCCTTTTCTTATGGTCCCGATTCCGTGGATCAGGAATTCAGAAGAGTCCGGGCAGGGTTGGCTTGTCTGTGCTCCACGGTGGTTGAGGGCTTGGCTGGAAAGACTCACAGGCTGTGGGCAATTGGACAGTTCCAGGTTCAAACCATCTGAAGGTTTGTCCTGCCACATGTCTGGCCGTGGAGGCTGCCTGTTGGCTGGCACCCCAGCTGGACTGTCAGTCAGAATATCTGCCAGTGGCCTCTTCTCAACACCCGGGTCAGTTGGGCTTCCTCACATCATGGAAGCTGGGTCCTTAGTGCTGGCAGCCCAAGAGAGCCAGATGGGAGCTGTATTGACTTTAGGACCACATACTGTCTTTCCACCAAGGCCACGAGCCTTCCCCTTCTCAGTGGCCGGAGATGGAGGTGGGAAAAGAGGAATGGCGAAGTCCTGTTGTTAAATAAGCCTGTGGAGTGAGAATGATCGTGGCGCTGGGTTTCCCAGATGACAGTATGTTCATCTCCCTAGCCACTGTTGTCCCCACAGGCCCAGGCTGTCCCTGGATGCGCAGACCCAATGAATGGGCCCCAGGTTTCCTTCTTTTCTTTTTTTCAATCATTTTATTAGGGGCTGGGCTCCAGGTTTCAAAAAGAGTTCTCAAGCAGACATGCAGGGGGCATGGGGTGGACACATGGAACTTCCGAGAACAGAGCCAAAATTGTCAGCAGGGGCTTTAAAGCTTATGAAAGTGCTTTGTAAACTGCAGTGCTGGGGAGCCCTGGGGATCTGTTACCCACAAGGGAACGGGCTGGCAGCCAGCTGGATTGCTCAGCTGGTGGCTTGATACACGCCCGGTCCTTCCTCCTGGTGGGGGCCCGTGTGTGTATTAGATGAGTCGAGTCAGTGGGGCCTCAGTGGTGTGTTAGTCTGGGTAAGACTAGAGAAACACTCGTGTGTATAAGAAAGAGCTTTACATACAAGAGCAATTGAATATTGAGGAAACATCCCAGCCCAGTCCAGATCAAGTCAAATACCAATCTATAAAGTCCTCTTCAGACTCATGAAACACATGCAATGACACCAAATGCAGGAAGATCACAGGCCAGTGGGTGGGGAGTCTTGTGGATCCAGTGGCAGTAGAAGCATCTCAAGGCTGGCAGGGGTCTCCACGTGGCTCCTCTAGCTCCAGGGCT